AGCCAACTCCTAACCAATGCGCCACTCAGCTGGCCCTCAATCAATATTTATTGAATGTCCATACAAGTGGTAGTCTGAGCATAAATTCACGTAGTCACAGGAGCATCTCATGTGTGAGAGGAAAAGGAGGGAGGAGGAGGTTGCTGATAATCGGTAAATCTTATAAACCGAAGTCTTATTCTAATTTGTCATCTTAACCTGAGCTAGGAAATAGATTCCCATCTCTAATTTATCTAATTAATTATATGAAGAAGTCACAGCACCAAGAAGCAAATAGAATAATGGAATGAAACAGATTTTAAATAAACTAACAAAAATTAGGCAAGACACGTTTATAGGCTCTGGTTTGGGTGGGTAGTAACGTCACACAAGGTGGAAAAGCCACCTCCCTGTGTTCCTCAGACTGTAATCTGGACTTCATTTTACAAATGACATGAGCCTTCCTGGTGGCCAGATCACAGTTCTCAGCAGGCATTTACTGAAAACCCAAGAAGTGCATATAAGACCCCCTCGATGTCCTTATTATCCCAATGAAGTGTCAGAATCGCCCTGGCGCTTCTTCAAGCTACGAACACTTGTCCCCTAAGAGCTCTGGTCCTTGTGCTGGGGGAGGGACAAGACTGTCTGGGTCATTATGACATGGCCCTCTCATCCTGTCTCCACGAAATCACAATACCACTCGAAATTTGTGGGAATTCCATTTTATAACATTCCCATATCAATCTGGATGTGCCACTCTTGCCTATTCTGTCTTTATCATTCTTGGAATACCCTGCCTCCAATAAGCCATGGAACCAGAAGGCCCTCAGATAGCTTCCCCTGCTCCCTCCAGTGCACCAATGGCCAAAGTGAGGCCACCAAGTAGGTCAGATAGTTTATTCTCCTCCAGGAACTTCTGTTGGCTACTTTGTCTCAGGGAAACTAACCTAGTCCTTTTTCAGAACTGAAGGGCCTTTCTACTTATTATCCAATCAGATTTGTTTTCCAAATTATCTTCCCCAGGAGAAAGGGAAGAGTAATAGCAGCCAATTCCATATGCCCTGGGGTGGGAGTCAGGACAACTGTGTCCAATTAAATCCAGTAACTTTATTGTGTCATTTTAGGGACAGGAAGTTCAGGGACTAGAGGATCAGGGTGATGAAAAGATTCGGGAAAAATCTATAACTAGATGGGATGGACTATCCCATGCTGAATTTTACAGATTCATTTAAAAAGTCTTTAAGGTCCCTGTAAACCTATAAAATATGCAGACATATTTCTTTCTTTCATTATTTTCAATATATTGGCCTCTCCCAGCTTCAGTGAAGGAAATGACATCTGTTGTGTATTTTCTTCATCATTACACTTCCTGAGATTTTTTTGGAAACTCAATGTCCTTACCCATATCAGTTTAGATCTAACTTTCTCTTTAGTACACAGGCCAATTAATGGACCTAAGGATCCTTTTGGGGAGATACGATATGTGTCAACATACATGTGGGAGTTACTGAGTGAAAAGCATTTCTTGTACATACAATGGAATATTATTCAGCCATGAGAAAGAAGGAAATCCTGCCATTTTGTGACAACATGGGTGGACCTTGAGGGCATTGTGCTAAGTGAGATAACTCGGCAGAGAAAGACAAATACTGTATGGTATCACTTACATGTGGAATCTAAAAAAGCCAAACTCATACAAACAGAGAGTAGAGTGGCAGTTGGGGTGGGGGTAGGGGGTGCAGGGTGCAGCAGGAAATGAGGAGATGTCAGTCAAAGGGCACACACTTGCAGTTGGAAGATGAATGAGTCCTGGAGATCGAATGCACAGCACAGTGATTACAATCAACAAGACTGTATTATAAACTTCAAAATGGCTAAGAGACTAGATTGTAAATATTCTCACTACAAAAAAGAAATTATAATTGTGTGACATGTTAGCTAACACTATAGCGGTAATCATATTGAGATATAGAAATGTATCGAACCAACACTGTTGTACAACTTAAACTTACACAGCATTATATGTCAATAATTACATGGCAATAAAAGGGTATTTCTTAGCTACATGCCAAACACATATATCAACTTTGATTACAACAAGCTTTCCGGTTAAAGCTCTCAACTTAATAAAACTAGGATATAAATAAAATATGAAGTCAGTGAGCCAAGGATCAGGCACACTGTCTATTTGAAGCAGGAGGGAGAGACTCCGTGGTGCAGGGCCTCCTAGGCCATATTAAGGATTTTGTTATTTTCAGGAAAGGATTTGGGTTTTGAAAGGTTACCACAGCTGCTGCAATCCAGGATGAATTCAAGGTAGTAAAGAGTAGACTAGGGAAATCAGTTGGGGCAACTTTAGTATATATTCTCAGAATAGATAATAGTTGAATGTATGAAAGTACACACATATACACACACAAATTTATCTACTATCTATCTATCTTTCATCTATTATATCTATTATCTACCTATATATCATCTATCATCTATCTATCATCTATCATATCTATCTATTATATCTATCATCTATCATATCTATCTATCCATTCATCTAATCTATCTATTATATCTATTATCTGTCAATCATATTTATCTATCTATCTATCCATTCATCTAATCTATTATATCTATTATCTATCAATCTATCTATTATATCTATCTATCTATCTATCACCTATCTGCTTATTAAACACCTAACAGGATGTATACAATTGTCTTGCACGCCTAATGAAGCTCTAAATGTAGAGAGGCCCCCCACCAGCCTGCCCGTGCAGTAGACTCAGCCTTGCATCCCTCTCCCTTTGGGCCTGCATTGTGTTTGGCCCGTTTATTGGACAGCTTCCTTCTCCTGGGCTGTGGCCTGTGGTGGAGGTGGAGCTCACCAGCCTGTGCCAGTGCAGCCTCTGCAGTAACCAGGGCTGACCCCCATGGATGCAGAGGCAGCTGGTAGCCAAAACGCCCAGTGGGCAGAACAGGAAATGTCTGGGAAAGCAGCCCTTTTCCTGTGTCAGCTTAGCGGCCACACTGCTTTCCTTCCTTTCTAACCTTGGTTTAAGGCTCCTTAGCCCCATTGGCCCTCTCAGTTCACAGGAGCCCTAGGACACACCACGTAGAAAGGCCCTGCTCTGGCTTTGTCTCTCCACTTAGAATGAAACAGGAAAAATCTAGCCCGTCCCCAGCCGCACAGACCTGCAGCCGTCTGCCTGGGAGCTTCCAGTAGACGATTCCTTCCCCCACCTGAGCTCTGTAGCAGCTTGTCTCACTGCTCTGTGCTCTGCTGCTTGTCTCCAGGAGCAGGTATGCTCTGGGTTCTGGAATCAACAGGTGCCAGTATAATGACTGCTTTCGGGATGCCCGAATCAGGAACACCTCAGATGTTTAGAAAGGTATCCTGGGAATATATTTCCAGTAACCGTAAGTTTGACTGGCTAAGAACAAGGAGAATATCCCTCGAAAAAGGAAACATTCCTTTTCCTGGCTTCCTGCCAGTAGGGACCTAGGTCAGCTGGACTATCTTCAGCCCTCTGAAGTCTCTCACTGTCAGCGTCCCAAGGGGAAGTGACAGCGTCTTAGCCACACTGCATTTCACAGCGAATTGTTACTTTATTACCATGCCCCTCCTAAGAACTAATAAATCTGTTTGCTTGATCTGTTTTTCATGCTCTGTGTAAAGAATAATAGAATTTTGGAGCTGCGATGAATCTTACTCGAGTTCCTAAAGTGTCACTACATCTTACAGGTGACGTGACTGAGTCCCTGGGGGTTAAGGGGCTCCCCTGAGGCCACCTGCTGCGTTTGCTGTTCCTGGTGGTGGTGGTGGTGGTGGTGGTGGTGGGGGGGGCTTGCTTGAAGCCCCCCACATTAGCTCAATGCAGACATCTCCCTGGCAGGAGTTGATTTCAAACTTCACATTTTGAATTCAGACAAAGGTGCTGGATCAGTGTTCCATTTGTGCTTGAGTGTCTTTTAGAGACTTTTTGAGAAAGTGTATGAAAGGATTCCAGGCCTTTATTGCACACATCTCTCCGGGGGGTGGGGAGGAATGGGATATAAATTAATTTGAAAAACAACAAATAGACACTGTGCTGCCAATGCCTCAGACACAAACCACTGGCTCTTCCTTCAACTTCCTCCCCACCATTGTCCCCCACGCTTTTCTGTAACAAGAGCTGCCATTTTCCCACCCAGTATTGTTCAACACACGTTGCAAATATTTCCAGCCCTCCTATCAGATGATAGATAGATAGATAGATAGATAGATAGATAGATAGATAGATATAGATAGAGACACTTTAAGATGGAGTTGGAGCTGACATCCCAGAGCAACTGCCTTCTGCATCTTATGCCTCATACCTTTGGAATGTTAAAATAGGGCAAACTAACTTTTGGACTAGGTCTGAAACAACACTGTGTCCCAAAGAACTGTTTGCAAAGATAGCAAGAAAGCAGTGATTGTGCCTACTGGACTGATGACTATTGGACTGAAAATTAAAAACACTGTTTAGAATTGGCATCATGATGTTATGTTACCTGCACCAATCCACAGAAATGCCTTCCTTCTATTGATGTAATTGCTCCCCTTCCATTTCTCACAAATACCCATTGCCTTTGTCTCTTAATCAGAACCCTATTTGGGCTTCTGCCTGAATCAATGTCCTGAGTAGCTATTCTTGTTGATCTCAAATAAGTGCTATTGCCTCTCACTTTGAAAGGTCTTTTAGTTTTAGGTTAGTACTCCCAGTAACCCTATGAGGTAGAGATTATTATTTCCATTTTACAGATCAGGAAACGGAGGCTCCCAAAGGTTAAGTACCTTGCCCCCAATCACACAGCTTGGTGACTAGTGGAATTCTATTAATCTAGTTCCAAGGGTATCCTACTCTTTCCACTTCAAGTCAGTGAAGACAGCATGTTGCACATCAGGGCCCTGTTGTAGCCGTGTGACTTGGCGAGGACCCACCCCATAGCCTCTCTGCTTTATGCAGAGGACCCGTGTGTGGGGAGGCCAAACCCCTGCCTACCTGCAGAACTCTCCTTCTGATTCTGGCAGCAGGAGTGAGGCCATGGAGTTCTTCATCAGATTGGCCACCACAGGGTCCTTGGGTGTCACATAGAAGTAAGGAATCCCAGTGCTGTTGTTCAAGGGGCCATCACTGATGGGCACGCAGTTCCCAAACGGCAGTCCTGGGATCTAACAAACAATGAAAAAAAGGCTTTTTCAATGCAGGCTTGTGGGTTGCCCTGAGCTGGGAGCTTAGCTTGTGTCTGTGGCCAGGAAATATAGCACCCCGTGGGTATGAAGGGAGCATGGCATCACCATGGTTCTGACAGAGAGTAAAGTAAGGCACAGTGCTCCCCAATCTGCCCAATTTACCCAGGGGCAGCTCCAGAATTTCTACAGAGGAGCTTAGCAGTGACATTCTGCTTGGGAGGAATGATTAGGGGGTTATTCTTGAAGCTGCAAGTACAGAGCCAACACATTCACTTTATTAAATCTGAAGTAATTTGGGGGAAGGGGGAATGAAATTTAGAGTCATGCTAAAACCTTCCCCACAAGCTGCCCCTGGGAGCCCCACTGCCTTCGCTGTATCCCCCAAGTTTCTGGCAACTTTGGGGATAGAATTCAAGTCTTAACTTTGACATCTTTAGTGGTCTTTGGACTCCAAGAACTTTCTATTACGGTTTCTGTTAGGACCATATCACTTTCTCATGGATTAGTCATAGTTTTTTTTTTTTAATTGTAATCAATAATATTTTCTATAATTCAGCAAAATATAGGAAACTAGTTTCTCATCCTTTTAGCTTAAAGGAAGTTCAGAAATGTGCTATATCTATTTCCGGTCATGTAGTAGAGTGGGTGAAATTCTCAGACATATATACAGATATTTTTTAGGTCTTCCCAAGCCGTGCTGGGTCCAGCCTCCCCGTCTCATGTGCTTTGCCTTTTACAGAGTGGTCTTCACTGTTACTTAGCTCAGCACTCAGGGGCCATCTTTGTCTTTGAAGTGCTGCAGGAAAGAAAGTGTAGAACTAGGGATGGCTTTGAAGTGTTGCAGGACGAGAATGTGTAGAATTGTGATAAGGGATGGCTTGAATCTTTTTTTAAAAACCATGGTGTAAAAGAGTCCTCCAAAATGGCAATATAAATTCATTCATGGCTTCTGTTTTTCAGCTTGTTGTAAAGTGCTGAGAGTCATACTTTGCACACACGGCAGGCACGTGGTAAATGTCTTCTGAATTTATTGAATTTGGATTAAATATCAGTATTGGAAAGGGGAACTACTAACAAAGCTAGGAAAAGGGATGTCCAGGGTTAAAATACCTTGACTACATTAGCACTATACTTTTAATTACTTGAAATAATCTGTGTTTTAATCCAAGATCAGTTTCGTATTTAAGCTTGATAGCTTCTTAAGGTGTACCTTAGGAGCATAAGATGTAACCATGAACAACTATTTGGATGCTGTGAAAGAAGTTAACATCATTGACATAATCAGAATAAAGTTGTCATTTAGATAATTTTTTAAGCTATAAAGCACCTTCAAAACTACCTAGTCAACTACTTAATGTCATAGATGAGGAAAGCAAAGTGGAGAACCCAGTGACTTGGCCAGTCTCGGAGTTGCTGAGACCCGCTGCTGGGGAAAGAACCTATACATAAAACATTATTATTATTATTATTTTGCATGCAATAAATAGGAGTTCACAGTACTGCCCTATAAAACAAAAACAAACAACAAACGAAAAAACCACTTACATCTATCTTAACAGTCCTAAAAGCATTCTGGAGGGTGTATACTTATAAATGTTACAATCTCATCATTTATCCATGTCACTTCAGCCTAAGGTGGAATCATGTCTAACAGGTGAGTAAAATATTTGTGAACTGAACCATAAAACCTGCAGCTGATAACAGCTCATTCCAGCATTTACACACTTTGCACTCTAAGCTTCCTTTCTAGGAAAATTCTAGAGTTTCATTTTTTAAAATTTAAATTTACACCAAGGCCCCGGTGATGTCTTTCTCCTAGTCCCCCAATTCTGTTCCGTGTCAGTAAGTGACAGAGAAGTTCGGGTCTATAGGTGGGCGCTGTGAACCGGGAGGGGCTGCCCCACGCCCACTCTGTGATGACAAAGGACATCAAGTGGCTTCTTTTGTCCAGGTCTCTCTGCTCAGACGTCTCTACGACTCTACGACTGAGCATCTCAAGACTGCGCTGCAGTCCCCAACCACCTGGCAGAAAGCCTGGTTGTCAGCCCCCTCCTCCCCTCCACCGCCGCTTTGCCTTGCGAACCGAAACACAATCTAGTTCCGTTATTTATAGGGTGCCCGCGGGTCAATCTAGCCCCCTGGGCACATCTGTTACACCTGGATCCGAGGACGTGAGTGGTTGCTAGCATCTTCCTGTCCCCTGGGCGCGCCATCTGGGAGCCAGGCCACTGCGAGGCAGGCACCTGCCACAGGCTCCCTGCGGAGTGGCTTACCTTCTCGTGCGCCGACACGGTGGCCAGACAGCCCCAGGCACTGACGTGCGCCAGGAAGCGGGCGGTACTCGGGCGCAGCCTCCGACCGCTCTCGCGCCTGTAAGAGAACATTCCCGGCGGCGCCGGGGACGGCCGGGCGCGGGCGGTGCCCGCGGGGGGCGGCAGGTGCGCGTCCTCTTTGTGCGCGGAGGCCGGGAATCTACGTTGCCAGATGCTGCCCGAGTCCTCCAGCAGCGCCGGCATTGCTTCCTCGGTGGAGGCGCTGTCCAGCTCCTCATCCACCTCGTTGGTGACGGCCCAGGACACCGAGCTCACAATAACGTAGCCCGCGGCCGAGGACAGCAGGGCGCTGCAGCACAGCAGCCAGGAGAGGTGGATCCCGGGCCCCGCCGGCCTTTGGCCGCGGCTCACAGACATCTTGCAGGCAGCGCGTGGGGCCGCGGGGACCGCCAGCAACGCGCCGGAGGCCGACGAGGGCGGCAGCGCCCCCCGGCGGCGAATGCGGGGAGATGGCGCCAGCTTCCCTCCGTCGCAGGATTCCGGGGCGGGGTCCCCAGCTGCGGACCCTGGCAGCCGCACGCCACTTGGAAAAGTCGAGGCTACTGGAAGACCAGATTCCACCCCAACGCTGCACGCACTGCAGTCGCTGTGCGCAGAGTACCCATCGCGTGCCAGGTCTGGGGATGGGCGCGGTTCCCGCTGGATGGCACAGGCTGTGCAGCTAGACGGTGGGCATTCAAATCCCGGCTCAATACGTTCCTCCACTCACCAGCTGTGTGACCCTGCCGAGCACTTAACCTCTCTGTACCCCAGTTCCTTCACTAGAAAACAGTATCTAACTCAGGGATGATGGGTGAGAGTATTAAGTGAGTTAATATTTGGAGAGGCTTGGAACAGTGCGTGGCATGGAGCAAGCATTGGATTTTGATAATAGACCGAGGTAGGGATTGTTAAGATTAGCACCAAGTTTGTCTGATACCAAAACCCATTCTCTTTCTCTGTTAAGGACGATGACCGTCTTACACTTTGCTAGGACAGGAAGGCTTTGGGGCCACTTAATCTAAAAGCAGAATCAAGTTTACATATAAACTGACATCAAGGCTACTGAGAGAGAATGTGGCCGGGATGGAGTAGCCTGAGAATTGTATGAATGGACCACAATTGAAAAACATTTTCTGGGGGCAGCCGGGTGGCTCAGTTGGTTAGAGCGCGTGCTCTGAACAAGTGTTGATGGTTAGATTCCCAAATAGGATGGTGAGGTGCACCCCCAGCAACTAAATTGAAACTACTTGACTTGGAGCTGATGGGTACTGGAAAAACACACTGTTCTCCAATAAAGTTTAAGAGGAAATTTTCTGATTGATGGAAATTTGGGCTGTTTTCAATAGTACAGTTTTATAGATATCAAAATAATTTTACATTATTTACGCTCCTTAACCTCTGCTGATGGCATCCATAATCTGGCCCACTAAGAGCCATTTTCTGCCCTAGATTTTCCACCTAGAGTCTAATAGTTCAGCTTCACATTTGTCATAGATGAAAATAAATTGAACTAACACTAGAATTTTTAAAGATAAACTTTGTGGGAAATGGTACATCCTGCGGAAATCAGAGGATCCACGGCCTACCCGATCCTCCACTCCATTCATCTCCTGCTGTCCCCTTCCAGTCACAGCCATTTTTGTATGTATCCATTCCTCTGTCCATTCACCAACCTACATGATAATGACTTTAAAATATTCTGATTGAGAGATAGGACATACACAGAAAATATATATGTACAATTTAAAGACTCATTTGGATGAAGACAAGGAATGTTGCCAGTTCCTAAAAGCTCTCTGTATGCCCCACCCCCTCCAACCCCCTGCCTCCTCTCCTAGAGGTATTACTATCTTGACATTTGTGGTCCATGTTTCTTTGATTTTCTTTAGAGATGTATTTCCTGTGTATGCATCCCTAAATATTACAGATTAGTCTTATCTATTTTGAACTTTGTATAAATGGAATCATTTATATACCTTTGGCGTCTTTCTACTTTCAGTCAAAATTCCATTTGTGAGAATGTTTCTTCTTGTGTTGTTTGTGTTGCTGGGACAGTTATTTACATTTCCCCAGTGTCTATCAATTTTTAGCAGGTTTTCGTGCACTTACTCTTTGTCTATCTTATTTAGCGAAGCATCTGTTTAAATATTTGGCCATTTAAAAATCTGGTTGTATGTCTTCTTTTTATTGAGTTGTGAGAGTTATTTATTCTCCATACCAGTCCCTTATCAAGTATATGTTTTGCAAATATTTTCTCCCAGTCCATGGCTTGCATTTTCATTTTCTTAACAGTGTCTTTTGAAGAGCAAACATTTAAAATTTTGATGACATCTAATTTATCATTTGTTTTCTTTTATGGTTTGTGCTTTCTTTCTGCATTCTTTCTAAGAAATCTTTGCCTGACATAAGCTCATTAAAAATGTTTTTGATATTTTATTCTAGAAGTTTAATAGTTTTACTACATGAATTTAGATCTATAATCCTTTAAAGATAACTTTTCTATGTGGTCAAGTTTTGTTTTGTCTATACAGGTATCAAATTGATCCATCACTCTTTGTTGAAGACTATCTCTTCTCCTGACTTACATATTATTGTTGTTTTTGTCTGATGCTGTATTTTTCTTAATCCAACAAATATTGTTGTTATTATTTTATCCAATCCATGTTTATTTAGATTTAGCTACATGTTTTCCAATTTCCTTACTCTTCATCCTTGCTTGCATCTCAGACCTTCCATTCAGAATCGTTCCTTTTGGATTGAAGTACATCCTTTAGAACTTCCTTTGGTGAAGGTCTACTAGTGGCAAGCTCTCTTTTGTTGGTCTGACATGTATTTCTCTTTCATTCATAGAAAATATTTCTGCTGAGTATCGAATTCCTAGCTAGTAGGTATATTTTCAACACATTAAAGCTACCATTCCACTTTGATGTTGTTGATATTGACAAGTCAGAATTTAGTTTTACTGTCACTTCTTTGAAGGTAACCTCTCTTTATTTTTCTTATGGCTTTTAAACTCTTCTCTGTGTCTTTGGTATGTGTCTAGGTGTGAGTTTCTCCCTTCCTTTTTTTATTCTTTCTTTACTTCTCTCTTTTATTTTTTCCTGGAATTTGTTGGATGTCTTTCATCAGTTCTGGAAAATTCTCAACAATTATCTCCATAAACATTGCCTCTTACCTATTCTTGGAAACATATTTCAGGCCTTCTCTTTGGTTAATGTTTCTAATGCGTCTTTCATATTTTTTGTCACTTTGTCATTGTGCTATACTTTAGATAATTTATTGTCATGGACTGAATGTTTGTGTCCCTCCAAAATTCATATGTTGAAGCCCTACCTCCCAGTGTGATTGTATTTGGGGATAAGTCCTCTCATGAAATAATTAAGTTTGGATGAGGACATAGGGTAGGGCCCTGATTTGATAGGATTGTACCCTTATAAGAAGAGACACCAGGGAGCTCTCTCTCTCCCGATGCACACTGAGGAAAAGCTATGTGATGACACAGTGAGAAGGCGAGCCATCTGCAAGCCAGAAAGAGAGTTCTCACTAGAAACCGAATTGGCTGGAACCTTATCTTGGATATCTCAGCCTCCACAACTGTGAGAAAATTAATTTCTGTTGTTCAAGCCACCCAGTCTATCGTATTTTGTTACAGCAGTCCAAGTAGATGAATACAATGAATATGCTGAAATTGGTTTACCCATTATCCTATTGATAGATGTTATTGTTGTTTCCAGTTTTATCTATTATGAGTAAAGCTGCTATAAATACCTCATACAAGTCTTTTTGAGAACATATGCTTTCTTTGTTTTGGGTAAATACCTAGGAATCACTGGGTCGTAGAGTAGGTATATGTTTAAGTTTGTATGAAATTGCCTGTTATGGACTAAATGCTTGTGTCCCCAAAATTTATATGTTAAGCTCTACCCCCCAATGTGATGGTATTTGAAAATGGGTCCTTAGGGAGGCAATTAGGGTTAGATTAGGTAATGAGGGTGGGGCCCTCATAATGGGATTAATAACCTTATATAAAAATGAGAGTCTCCCTCTCAGCTCCGCCCTCCTGCATGTATGGGCCAGGGAAAGGCTGTGTAAGGTCACAGTGAGAAGGCAGACATCTGCAAACCAGGAAGCGGGCCTTCACCAGGAACTGAATGGCCCAGCACCTTGATCTTAGACTTCCAGCCTGCAAACTCTCAGAAATAAATGTCTGCTTTTTAAGCCACTCCATTTATGGTATTTTGTTATGGCAGCCCAAGCAGACTGAAACACTGTCAAGCTGTTTTCCAGAACAATTTTTATCATTTTAAAGTCCTACTAGTCATAGATGAGCAGCACATTAGGCCTCTAAATGATGCATGAGGTCATGTCACTTACATAGATGGGGCTATTTTTGTTTTTTATTAGTTTCAGGTGTACAAAACAATACAATAGTTATACTTTTCACCCCTCACAAAGTGACAACCCCTCTCCCCCAATCCACCTCCTCCCCGACATCACACATATCTATTATAATTCCATTGACTCCACTCCCCACACTGTACTCCATGTCCCGTGACTATATATATATATAAAATTATAGTTGACATACAATATTATTCAACTTCAGCTTCGGGTATACAGTGCAGTGGTCAACCCTCTACACCGTCCATGAAGTGGTCTCCCTAGCAAGGCATGTGTCCATCTGACACCCTACAAAATATTTACAACATTATTGATTATATTAGAAGGGACTATTTTGAATAGGAACTTAGTTATTTGGCCTATGACATTTCCTACAGATTTCAGAGTTGTTCATTATAAGCAGTCCTGAGCCATCAGGTATGTGCTGCTATAAAAAAGGACTCTCCCATTAACAAATACGATCAGCAAATACTATAAGAAGATTTGACTAGGAGTGGGGGGAAGGGACTGCAGATCTGCTGCTTACCCAGTACTTCCCACCCACAGATACTGTGTCAAGGACAACGAGAGGCACAGAGTCAAAGATAACAAAGCTCAATTTTAAGGCTGGAAATGTACAAGAGGAGCCTGGGATGTCCTCTTCAGTAAGAAAAAAATGAAGCTAGAAAAGACTAATGGATCATGTCAACAGAACACAGGAGGCAACTTTAAAAGACTTCTTCTAGCAAAAGATGGAATAATGTAAGCATCACAAAGAAACATGAAGGCAGTTTCTTAAAAAAACTAAACACGCATTTATCATACACCCAAGCATTTCCTCTCCTGGGCATTTATCCCAGAGAAATAAAAACACTGGTCCCCCCACTAAGACCTGTACACCATTGTTCACAGCAGCTTTATTTGTAATAGCCCAAAACTTGGAAACAGCCTAAATGTCCCTCAGTATGTGACTGGTTAAACAAACCATGGTACAGCCATACCATGGGACACTACTCAGCAATAACAAGAAACAAACTGTTGGTATGTGCAGCAACTTGGTGTTAAGAGCCTTACATTGAGTAAAAACAAAAGCCATTCTCAAAAGGTCCTGTATTATATGATTTCATTTATATAACATTCTCAAAATGACAAAATTACAGAGATGGAAAACATAAGTGGTCAGGCATGGG